TCCCGTATCGATCCACCGCTAGATGCGCCGTTTCGTCCGACAGCATCAAAGGAAGCCGAGAGAGAGAGAGAGAGAGAGAGAGAGAGAGAGTGAGTGTGTGTGTGTGTGTGTGCGTGTGTGTGTGTGTGTCCAGAAGATAAAGCGAGAGAGTGGTACTGCCCGCATGTTTTCCTCTTGAGTGCCGACGGACCCCAAAGCCTTACCTGCAAAGAGGACCAGCGTAGCCATGGGAAGGGCGCAACCGAGAAGTGTCCATGCAACGTCGGGTTCATGCCGGCGAACGGACGGGCCAAGGTACGGATGCGAGAAGGCAAGTGATTTATGTACACAGTATGCTATATACATAAGCAAGCAAACACATGCATGCGTGACAAACAAAAAATACATGCATGCATGCATACATAAAGGAACATGTTGGGAGGGAAGTTTTATCTGCTCGAGAAACCTTGAGGTTCAGCCGGCGAACATGGTCTGGCGCGTGGTGCAGCTGATGCGCCAGGCTTGGGACGATGTAAGGAAAGAAGAGGTTGTCCCCACGCGAGCATGATCTGCGGATCCTCATGTCCATAAACGTGCGATGGAACGCAACTGCACGACGGCGAACCGCGTACCGTTTGAGCAGCATCTGGCCAGCAGTCTGGGAAAGAACATCCGACCCTAACTGAAAGCCAAGATGGCTCTCGCCGTCCAGGCTTTGCCCAAAGGGACTGCCAATCCTGACCGCAACAGTTGCATAGACTCCAAGATCATCGCAGTGCAAGGCCCAAGCCAAATAGTTTCTGTCTTAAGAAGCAGGTTCTGTTGCATGGGTTTCTGCCTGGCAGGGTGTCAACCAAGGGCTGAAGATCAGTTTTTGCCTCCACTGCTAGTATCTTGCGGCTGGAAAGAAACACCCGGAATTCGAAAGCCTAACGCGGACGGCGCAAATCCTGCGATGACCCACCCCCGCTCTTATCGCGGTGCGCAATGTATGTATGTATGTATGTATGTATGTATGTATGTATGTACGTATGTATGTATGCATGTACGTATCTTTGTTTGTTTTTATGTATGTTTGTATGTATGTATGCATGTACGTATCTTTGTTTGCTTTTATGTATGTATGTTTGTATGTATGTTTGTATGTATGTATGTACGAATGTTTGTATGTATGTATGTACGTACGTACGTATGTATGAATGCATGTATGTGTGTGTGTACGTATGTATGTTTGTATGTTTGCATGTATGTATGTATGTATGTATGTATGTCGTAAGTACACTGACCATGTCGAGTGCGAGTGCCAAAAATGTAAGTTGTACGTACATGTGTATGTATACGTGTACTTAAGATTTTATTTTACTAGTTGTAACATAGCATATGGCATATGTCGCATACTACGAATAAACATATTCATACTCATATTTATGCTAACCTTAATATTAGTAGAAAAAGTACCGATAATTATACTAATATTGATTTTAATATGAACACGCATACCCCCACGAATACTAACACTCATAGTAATGCTCGTACTATGAATACTAGTGTTCCAACGAACACTAATAATCATATGCATTTGTAATCTTAATACCAATATGCATACTGATGCTAATGCTAAATAGCACACAGCACACTCGTTTGACTCGTTTGCTGTATGTTGCGCATATGCTTCGTTTGCCTCGCATCGCAGTTTTCTGCATCAGCTGCTGTTGGCTCAACAACCACCGCAAACGGTGGATCCTTGGGGGCTGGAAACATATTCGTATATATATATGTGTGTGTGTGTGTGTATATATATAGATTTATTTGTTCATTTATTTATTTATATTTAAACGCATATTCATATTTATATTCATTTATTTANNTTTTGATTAATAACCCCCCCCCCCCCTCCCCCTCCCCCCTTTCCCCCTCTCCACGTGCCAAGAACAGTTGGCTAGAAGGCTGGGGTGGGTCATGAAGGGACCGGGGAGGTTGTGACCATTACCTCCCCCCCCCCCCCGGATCCACCCGAGCTTGCATTTTGTAAGCAGTGGATCACGGGAGGTGGGCAACCTCAGATGCGAAACCGCTGGCAGGGACAGGGATCAAGTTTCCCGAAATTTCCGGAAGCCTGAAATGCGAAAACACTGGCAGGGATCAAATCTCGCCAACATGTCCCAAAACTGAGCAACTATCTGCCCCCCTTACTCCCCATAGATGCCAGGATTTTAGGAATTTTGCATTCAGGCTTTAGAAGTTTTGGTCAAATTTGAGCCTGCATTAATTTTGGCAGCTTCAGACGCGAAAACATCGGCAGGTTGTCCCTGATAGCTGTTGTTCTTGCTCTAGGTAAAAGCGCCCCTAGGACGCCGAGTCTGCTGTTTGAAGCCTCCATGGACTTTGGAGTACTTGTATCGGGGGTGATGATGACGACATTGTTACACAGACACCCCGAACAATATCTCCACAAGAGCCGTTTTACTCGGTGTTTACGGTGCTTTCGATATGTCGGACCCTCTTATATTGCATGGCTCAACACACTCCGCTCCGCCACAAGCGCAACTTTGTGCATGGCTCTATACACTCCGCTCCACCACAAACGCAACTTTGTGGCTCAACACACTCCGCTCCGCCACAAGCGCAACTTTGTGCATGGCTCTATACACACTCCGCTCCGCCACAAACGCAACTTTGTGGCTCAACACACTCCGCCCTGCCGCAAACGCAACTTTGTGTCTCAACACACTCCGCTCCGCCACAAGCCCAGCTTTATGCATGGCTCTATACACACTCCGCTCCGCCACAAACGCAACTTTGTGGCTCAACACACTCCGCCCCGCCACAAACGCAACTTTGTGTCTCAACACACTCCGCTCCGCCACACGCGCAGCTTTGTGCATGGCTCCATGCACTCGATCCGCTCCGCCACAAGTGCAACTTTGTGGCTCAACACACTCCGCTCCACCACAAACGCAAGTTTGAAGGGATAAACTGAGAGTGGAGTCATCTATAATCCCTTCCGCCTAATATTAATGGCCCCCCCCCTCCCTAATATTAAAA